TGCAGTGCAATGCAGTGCAATGCAGTGCAATGCAGTGCAATGCAGTGCAATGCAGTGCAATGCAGTGCAATGCAGTGCAATGCAGTGCAATGCAGTGCAGTGCAGTGCAGTGCAATGCAATGCAATGCAATGCAGTGCAAAGCAGTGCAATGCAATGCAATGCAGTGCAATGCAATGCAATGCAGTGCAATGCAATGCAATGCAGTGCAATGCAATGCAATGCAGTGCAATGCAATGCAACAAGTTGGTTGCAAAATAAATCAGTACTTAATTTCAATTTTACCAGAGTCTAGGCAGCCTTCAAAGGCAGTGAGGCTGGCACCCCTTAAACTAAACACAACCACAGAACAGTACACCTAAAATTCTATAGAAATGCCTAACATAAATTTATCACAGTACTCAGTTTTTTCCTGCAAAGATCAGGCCTGTTTCCATTAAAATGTACAAAAAGAATAACACAGTTTTAAGAAGAAAGATATAAAGCGGAATGACACGTAAAATCAACATAAGTAAACAATGAGACATGAAAACGCGAACACACTGCATAGAAATAAATAAGAGGAGCATTGGTAAAGTACCCTGTGAGCCAAGAATTCACACTGTTTTTAGAAGTATAATTACTCCAGCTGTTTACTACTACATGTCATATAACGTCAGCTATCAATTAAATAAAAATTACAGAAGCTATAGTACTAATTTTATGCAAGTATGGGTGCTGCACAAAGCTCTATAAATTGAAGTCATCGTGAAGTGTGGAAACTAATACTGGATGTGACAATTAAGATCAATGATCTCTAAGCATTGAAAACAAGGTAAGTGGGGAAACATAGACATGTGCATCCACTGAGCAGCAAGTTAAACAAAACATTTCTGAGAGAGATGTGAAGATAAGACCATGAGGATAAAACTTGTATCGTGAACATCAATTGGTTAGTACATTGGTATGTATAAATTATATTATGAAATATCATAACCTTGAGAAAATAATTGGTGATATGGGTATTTATATTAATCTTTTGATTGTGAAGAAATAGGAACATGTCCACTTCTATGTATCAAGCTTATCCATTATTTTCCCGGCATCTCTAAATATGGCACTGAAATATTGACAAAGTATGCGGTCCATATAGTCATCCTTTCCTTGATAAGAGGGTGGAAGGATACCTTCCATGAATCCGATATGTCCTCCACGAGCAGTCACAATGGCTGCAATATTCTTGCACTTTTTAAACTCATCCAAGGGCAGGGCTGAAACAAAAACAAACGGAAAATAGTTGATACGCAAGTTACCAAGATCTATAATTAGTTTTGGAAAAAGTACCATGTATAAAATACCTTTTAGTGGCTGAAATGGATCATCTGCTGCACTTAAACATAGTGTAGGGATCTGGAATTGATGCAGTTTTGTGTGTAGAGTAGCATCAGTGTAGTATTCATTGGTGTCAGAATATCCAAATGCCTTGCAAGTAAAATTACTGTCAAATTCTCGGATGGTGCGACTCTGAAACAAAAATTGAAAAATACATTGCGGTAGCTTTAAAAATAGAAGAATAAAAATCACTGCAATGCGCTTTATGGTAAAACTACCTTAAAAGTCTCGTCAAGATTACCCCAATCAAGATGATTTTGTCTGCAATAAATATGTTCAATGTCTCATTTCAAAATTGCTTCAAGATAGTAGGTGGATTAAAGTGAGACACTTACTTTTTCAGGGTCTTGCAAAGTAAATCAGCCAAATGTTTATTCAACATCATGTTCAAACCAGGTTTTTCAATGCTTTCACAAGCCTTGAACAAATCCCAGGGCACAGAAATTAGCATGGCTGCTACCAATTGGGACCGAACAGATTTGCCCCTCCTTGAAATATAGTTTCCCAAAACCAACCTAAATGAAGAAAAGAAATTTTTCAAATAAATGAACTTGTTATAAAACAATAATAATTTAAAAAATAATATCTATATTTACCCGCCCATAGATATACCGGTTGCAGCAAGAGGCACATTAGGATGTTTTCCTTTAACATGTTTAATAACTTCTGCCAAGTCATCACCACTGCACGCATTGTAAAGTCTAGGAGTCTACATTAAAAATGTGGTTTGCGCAAAATTAAGCTCTAGTAATATTTAGTATACTTTATTCAGACCACATCCTTGCGTGTCCTTACCTTAAGCTGGACTCCACCAAGACCACGGTTATTAAATACAACAGTTCGAAATCCACTACGGTTTGCAGCTTTCACCAGACACCTTATGTACTCAGCCTGGCTAGAACCAGTGAGCCCTGGTAAAATTAGAAGGACTGGTGCACTGGCTGAACAGCCTTCGTCAAGCCAGTCCAGAGCTACAATACCTCCATCTGCCATGTCCAGGACCTCTCTGGAAACAAAATTGTAAAGAAATAAGAATGGAATATAATAAAATTTTAAGACTACCATCAGGATAGATAGGGAAAGAATGTGTTATTAAGTATACCTGTGATAAGTTACTTGTTGCAATAGACGTTCTCGGAAAATGTTGGCAATAATTGTCTGAGCACGTGATTCAACACACCAAATAGTTGGCCAAAATCTCTCTTTTAGAATAGGAACATTGACTTCAAGAAATGAACAAAACTCGCCTGGGGCACAAACCAGTTGTGGTACCTGAAAACCATATCATGTGATTAAATGGTAGTTCTTCTTTCAGAATAATTGTGTATGATACAAATATTTAAACATTCTAATCAGATTGTAAACTGTTCCTTGAGTCTCGGCTCATGTGATCTACATGTGCTTAATAAATATTAATTGTTGCGGTGAATTGAAAAATGACAAATTGAAATCTGAAAGGGTACTGGCCTACAGAGACATAGTTTGCCCAACCTTCCTAACCTCCTTTAAAGACTATTGGGGACTGAAAATAAGCTAGAACTGATTTGTAAACACTGTAGGCCACTCACTTTTGCCACTTCGCAGATGTAGTAGATGACATATCCTGAGACGAAGAAGGCTGCCAAGTACCACCGCGGCAGTATGTCAACATCAAGGGAAGGGAGTGAGAAAGATGACAAGAAATCCATCATGGAATCCGCTTGAGTATTATTGGTCCACAGTTGGAAACAAAGATTGACAAGAACACGCGTTCAGACGCGATGACAAGCGTCTGATTTGAAAGAGGAGAGGTGCTGAGATCGGTCCTCGGTGTCGTTGCCGTTGTGCGTTCTGTGGGGTAGATCGTACGTTGTCGTTGTGCCCTTCGAGTCCCCGGCGCGGCGCGGCAAGAGAGCCGTCAGCGCAGCGCCACGG